TCAGATTATTTCACCATAATTATTCCCTCAGATTATTTAATCTTCATTTTTCTCCTCAAATAATTCCACTCTCATCTTCCCCCACAGATTATTTCACCCTCAATTATCCCCAATTATTTAATCCTCATTTTTGCCCTCAGATTATTTCACCATAATTATTTCCTCAGATTATTTCATCCTCATTTATCCCCAATTATTTAATCCTCATTTTTGCCCTCAGATCATTTCACCATAATTATTCCCTCAGATTATTTAATCCTATTTTTCCCCTCAAATAATTCCACTCTCATCTTCCTCATCAGATTATTTCACCCTCATTTATCCCAATTATTTAATCTTCATTTTCGCCCTCAGATATTTTCAGCGTAATTATTCCCTCAGATTATTTCACTCTCATTTTCCCTTCGATTATTTCACTTTCATTTTGCTCTCAGATTTTTCCCCTCTCACATTATTTAATCCTCATTTTCCTCTCAGATTTTTTTCCCTCTCAGATTATTCCACCCTCGTTTTCCCTCAGATTTTTTCCCCTCTCAGATTTTTTCACTGTAATTTTTATTTTCAAATAATTTCCCCAACATTTTCCCTCAGATTATTCCACCCTCATTTTCCCCCCCGATTTTTTCTCCCAATTTTTAATTTTCAAATAATTTCCCCCTCATTTTCCCCCCCGATTTTTTCTCCCTATTTTTAATTTTCAAATAATTTCCTCCTCATTTTCCTCTCCGATTTTCTCTCCCTATTTTTAATTTTCAAATAATTTCCTCCTCATTTTCCCCCACGATTTTTTCTCCCAATTTTTAATTTTCAAATAATTTCCCCCTCATTTTCCTCTCCGATTTTCTCTCCCAATTTTTAATTTTCAAATAATTTCCCCCTCATTTTCCCCCCCAAATTTTTCTCCCAATTTTTAATTATCAAATAATTTCCCCCTCATTTTCCCCCCCGATTTTTTCTCCCAATTTTTAATTTTTTTATAATTTCCCCCTCATTTTCCCCCCCGATTTTTTCT